AATTTATATAGGTAAGGAAAAATAGGAAGAATACAGGTATGGTAAAGTGAAGGGTAAAAAGAAAGGGGGAGGGGAAGGAAATAAGGAATTAGGGTAAAATAAGGATAGGTACAATCACATATTTCAACAAACAAGCAACCATCTGATTCATAATAATGAGTAAGTATCATATTCAACCATTTTTAACAAAGCTTAAACTGTAACATATTAAAAATAATTAGTAAACAAATACGTTGATCTATTAAATAAACACTACTAATAAAATCACAAAAGAAAAAAAATCCTAACAATCAAAAGTAACAAATGAAAATCAGTAAATCAGGAAAAGTAATCGTATCATCAAAATGTTAGTTAGAACTCGATTAAAAATCAGTCATCTATTCTAAAATATTAGATCCTTCAAGTTCTAACGTGTCTCTAACCATTGATAAAAATTTTCCCAAGTTCTAAAATAAATTGAATCATCTTTTTCTTTCATTTCTAATGTTAGTCTATCCATTTCTGCACACTCTAGAATTTTGGTAATAATAATCTGGTCAGATGGTAGATTCTCATTTTCCAAAATTGGGCAAATACTATCTTTGCAGCAGTTAAAACATGCAATATCAAGTAGTCATTCTCTTTACCATAATTAGGTCTTAATATTCCTAACAAAAACAATTCTGGTTTAAATTCTATTTGTAGTTTCATCATCTTTTCCAACCATCTATGAATCTTAGACCAATATTTCTTAGTGATAGGGCATGTCCACCAGGCATGGTAATAAGTACCTGGCTGTTGTTTACATTTCCAGCAAATATCCGAAACATTTTTAAATATTTTCACTAAGTGAACTGGTGTCGTATGCCATCTATAGAACATCTTATATAAGTTTTCTTTATATGCTACCGGTTTTGTAAGCTTAATGTTTTTATCCCAAAGTTTTTGCCAGTCTTCCAAATCTATAGAATATCCAAAGTTCTTTGCCCATACTATTATTGTTTCTTTCACTTGTTGTTCTTCCATCTTCCAGTTTAGAAGAAATTTATAGAGTTTTCTTTGGCCACCTAATGAGAAGGAAGGATTCACTGGAGAAGAGCCTAATGCTGGGGAAGATTGAGGGCAATAGAAGAAGGGGACGACAGAGAATGAGATGGCTGGATGGAGTCACTGAAGCAGTAGGTGTGAATTTAAATGGACTCCAGAAGATGGTAGAGGACAGGAAGACCTGGAGGAACGTTGTCCATGGGGTCACGATGGGTCAGACACGACTTCGCAATTAACAACAACAACATAGAGTTTTCTAATCAAATTCTCATCTGTTTTTAACAAAATTTTATCCAATGGGGTCTGTTCTTTGTAAAAACCTGTCAATTTTATATCTTTTTCATATCTTGTTTGAATTTGCAAGTAGGACCACCATTTCAAATCAATACCTTGTAGTTGTAAAGTTTGCCTGTCCTTAAGTTTTCCCTCTTTATCTTTATAACTAACCAGTTTGTCATAATTAATCAGATTTGGATAAGCAAATGCTTCCATTGTTGAAAGCCACTCAGGTATTTTCATGTATATTTTATGTTTAATTTTTTCCCATTCTGAAAGTAGTACGTTTCTTATCGCATGATTTAGAGGTCATGTCCCTCTAAATAAAGCAATCTTTTATTTCTCAATACAATCCATTCTTTAAGCCAAAGCAAAATAGCCGCTTGATAGTAAAGTCTCCAATCTGGAAGTCCAAAGACCCCTCTGTCTATACAAGATTCTTGTAACAATTTACATTTGATTCTCGCCTTCTTTTTTGCCATATAAATCTTAAAATCATTGCATTTAAATCATCAAAAAAATTCTTAATAAGTTTAACAGGCACTGTTTGAAATAAGAAAATTAGCTTTGGTAAAATGTTCATCTTAATCGTCGCTATTCTTCCTAAAAGTGATAATTGAAGATTTTCCCATCTTTCCAAGTCCATTTTTATTTGTTTCATTAATCTCTCATAATTATCTTCTTTTAGTGTATTATATTTCGCTGTTAAATAAATACCCAAATATTTAACTTTTTTAACTATTTGAAGATTTGTCATTTTAGTAAGTTGAGTTTTCTGTTTGTCTGTTAGATTTTTTGTTATTATTTAGTCTTTTCCCTGTTTATTTTCAGACCAGCCACTGCTCCAAATTTCTCAATTTTCTGCAAGAGTTTATTAGCTGTTTGTAATGGCTCCTCTAGAATGAAGACCAAGTCATCCGCAAAGGCCTGTAGTTTATATTTCTGATCTTTAATCTCCAGGCCTTTAATTTCTGTGTCTTGTCTGGTATTTCTTGCCAAAACCTCTAGTGTAAGAATAAACAACAGAGGAGACAACGGGCATCCCTGTCTAGTGCCTTTTTTAATCTCAAATCTATCTGTGTAATCTCCATTTAAAAGTATTCTTGCTGTTTGTTTCTTATAAATTGCTTGAATTGCTTTATTAAAATTTTCACCAAAGTCCATTTCTTGAAGTTCTTGAATCATAAATTGCCAATTGAAGTTATCAAAGGCTTTTTGTGCGTCAAGAAATATAAGTGCCATCTGGTTCCCTGGATGGATGTCATAGTACTCCAGAATGTTTAAAATGATCCCCAAATTATTCTTTATCTGTCTTTTTGGTAGGAAACGATTTTGGTCTGGGTGTATAAATTCATTCAAAAAATTTTTCATTCTTTCTGCCATTATTGCAGCAAAGATTTTGTAATCCACATTCAATAGCGATATTGGTCTGTAATTTTTAATTAGTGTATGATCAGTATCTTCTTTAGGTATCAAAGTAATATTAGCTTCAGTGCATGAATCCAGTATTTTTGTATGTGTAAAAACTTCATTACATAAGTCTTTCAGAGTTGGAGTTATAGTATCTTGTGAGGCTACATAAAATTCAGTGGGAAGACCATCAGATCCTGGTGTTTTATCTTTCTTTTGCTTTTTTATTGTCTCTGTAATCTCCATCATTATTTGTTATGTATATACACCCCTACATATACATAACAAATAAATATAAATACTGTCCATCTTGAATATATAATGGAAGGAGGAAGCTTGAGAGTTCGCAAGGTTAATGCTGTTTGGAATGAAACTATGGCTGAATCTGGATGTTCTGCTGCGGATACCACGAAGCCTCCTCCCAGAAGGTAACAAGGAACACAGGTTGTGAAGAGGATGTGTGGTGTCCCAGATAATCTTACGGACCCTGCTCAAGCAACGCTTCTGTGCTATATCCTTGATGGGAGGATGGGAGGGAGGGAACTGCCAATGATCTTTTCAGCCATTCTCACCACTCTCTGCACCGCCTTCCTATCTGAAGCAGTGATGCTTCCAAACCAGACTGTGATGCCATATGACAGGATGCTCTTGATTGTCCCCCTGTAGAAAGGATAGGAGAAGGAAGATGTGCCTTTCTCATGCAATGGAGAAAATGCAGGCACTGCTGTGCCTGCTTCACTAGTGTCTCACTGTTGAGCGACCAAGCCAGCCTACCCTTTAGCTGCACACCCAGGAATTTAATGCTGGTAACCATCTCAACAGGTGAATCATTTATGCACAGAGAAGTGTGGCTGTGCCTGCCTTTTCAGAAATTGACAAAAGGTTTCAGTAGAGTACAATGGAACACAGGATGGCCTTTCCTAAGAGTTTGGGAAGCTTTAACTTCACTGTGACTGGGTTAATGATTCTTACAATGGGGAAGGGACCTGGATACTTCGGTCCCAACTTCTTACTAGGCAACTTAAGTTGTAAATATTTTTTGGATAAGTAAACTTTTCCCCCAACCTGGAATTACCTTTGGGGAGCCCTCTTTCTATCTCCTTGTTTTTTATGTCTCAGAAGCCTTTTTCAGAGCGATTTTCATTTTGTCCCAAACCTCCTCTCACCCCCCTCACCCACTGGTCAAGGATTTGGGAAGCAGAAGGTGCCTGAGGATATTCAGGTATTGGGTTGAATTCTTTTCTTGTGGCAATTTTAAAAGGTATAAAACTGGTGCTGCTGTGAACAGAGTTATTGTAAGCCACCTCTGCAAAAGGGAGGAGGTCAGTCCAGTTTGTTTGCTGATAATCCACATAGCATCTGAGGTACTGTTCCACCACTGAGTTCACTTTTTCAATTGCCCCATTCGTAGACAGGTGAAAAGCTGACAGTCCTTGTGATGAGCCAATTAATTTGAGGAAACCCCTCCAGAACCTGGCTGTAAATTGTACCCCTCGGTCTGAGATTATCTGCTTTGGCGCACTGTGCAGCCTGTAAATCTGCTTAAGAAACATCTTGGTTAGTTTCTAGACTGATAGGAGTCCTTTACAGGTGATGAAATGAGCCTGCTTTGAAAAAAGATCTATCACAGTCCAAATCACCGTATTCCCCGTATGTAGGTAACTCCATTATAAAATTCATAGCAATTTGTTACCATGGCAGGGAAGGGTCCACAACTGGTTGCAATAATCCAGGGAGCTTTCCCGGAATTCTTTTCATGGTGGCACACACAGCACAGCTCTTGACATAGTTCTCTATGTCCCATTTCAAACCCGGCTACCAGAATTGTCAACAAACCAGATGCAATGTTTTTAAATAGCCAAAGTGTTCAGCTTGTTTCACATTGTGATTATGCGGGAAAGCATAGAGGTAGAGGGTTTTGGACAAATACAACTCCCCCCCCCCTTTGTAAGCCAATCAATCCTTGCATGTCAAGGAGGTTTGATTGTCCTTGAACCATTGATCTTTGAGGAGTTCCTGTTTTAATTTCCTTGCCCCAGGGTCATCGGGATTTGGGACTCTCTTTGTGGCTTTAGTTGAGAAGCAGCTTCCGGTGTAGATATGATTGCTTTCACATTAGCTCTTGTATTGAGGCAATCTGGATAAAGTATCAGCTAAAAAGTTTTTCCCCCCGCTATGTACTTCAGAGTGAAGTTAAATTGGTTAAAATATTGCGCCCACTGTACTTGCTTCAGGGACAGCTTGCAGGGAGTTTTCAGTGCCTCTAGCTTTTTGTGATCAGTCCATACTTCGAAAGGCACCTTGTTCCCTTCTAGGTAGTGCTGCCAGTTTAAGAGAGCCCAGTGAATTGCAAAGGCATCTTTCTCCCATACTGCCCATGTTCTCTCGCAGTTGGTGTACTTTTTCAAGGAGTAGGCACAGGGCTGCAGGACACCCTCATGGTTCTTTTGCAATAGTACAGCTCCGATGGCCACGTTGCTGGCATCAGCTTGAATCACAAAGGGCTTCCCCGGGCAGGGATGCTTTAGGACCAGGTCAACTGCAAATAATCTTTTCAGGTTTTCGAAAGCAGTTTGACAGTTCCTAGTCCATGTTAGCAGCTGGCCTGGTCGTGGCTTTCCACCATCTTTGCCGATTTTTAACAAGCCTGTGAAGGATAAAGCAATTTCAGCAAATGAGGGGATGAATTGTCGGTAAAAGTTGACAAACCCCAGAAAGCTTTGAAGCTGTTTGTGAGTCTTTGCGGGTTGCCATTCGATTATGGCTCTCACTTTACCAGGATCCATTTCAATGCCCTCACTGGAAATTCTGTAGCCTAGATAATCCAGTCAGGTTTGATAGAATTCACACTTTGATAGTTTAGCATATAGTTTAGCATTCAACAATTACTTTAGCATTTCTCACACTAACTTCATATGGTCAGCCATATTTGTGCTGTATATCAGGATATCATCAAGATACACCAAACCCCCCTTGTACAAATGATTGTGTAGCACCTGGTTGATCAGCTGCATAAAAACAGTTGAAGCGCCCTGCAGTCCAAATGGCATAACATGAACTGATAACTACCCATGGGACAGTTAAAAGTGGTCTTCCATTCATCTCCTTTTCTTAGTATCACTCGGTAATATACCTCTCTTAGATCCAATTCAGTGAAGATGATCCCCTTTGCTAGATGGGTTAGTAGGTCCTTAAGGAGGGGGAGGGGTACTTATTTTCTATGCTCATTATAGCCCATGCAGAGATGAAGCGACCCATCTTTTTTCTCTTTAAATAACACTGGAGCCCCCACCTGAGATTTGGCCGGCTCAATGAATCCTCTTGCTAGGTTCTTGTTCATGTTTGCTGCAGTTCATGCATTTCGAGGGGGGTCATGGTGTGTATCCTTGGCTGTGGGAGTTTAGCTCCTGGTAACAGTTCAATGGCGCAGTCATTGGGCCAATGGGGTGGCAGGATGTCACATTCTTTCTCACTAAATGCCTCCACTAGATCCCCGATATTCGCTGGGGATGAATGGCTTGCCTGGATGTGACAGGTTAGCTATCTTTGCTAACTCGGTAGATGGCCTAGACTCTCCAGTAACATCAGCTGAATTAAGAGGTGGTTTGGGCCCTATAGGTAATCTCAGAGTCCTCATCCCCTTTTCCCACCAAATAAACAGCTTCCATTTGTCTAACCAGGCTAGACCTAGAATCACAGCCTCAGTCAACTTCGGAGTCACCATGAAGTGAATGAACTCCCAATGTTCACCTATTTCTAAGTGTATCGGCTCCGTCAATTGTGTGACTAAAGTTCCTCCCATTAAAGAACCATTGGCTTGTTTAAATCTCACGGGCTTGGAGACCAACCTTGCCTGTATACCCATTCTAAGAGCAAGTGGCAAGCTAACAATACACCGGAGTCCACTAGCAGTTTCAAATCCACTTGTACACCTGTCTTAGGGACTATGAGTTTGGTAGCAAGAGAAAAAGGTGGAACGGGTCGACTCACCATTTGGTCGTTCTCTCTTTTGTCGTCACTGTCATAGGGCAGAGCGTGGGTGATGTGACCTGGGCAACGGGTTCTTGCGAGATCCAGTTTGATTTTTCTTTTGCTGGCTGCTGGGTTGGTTTCTTCCTCATCGGTGGCCCCAATCTGCTTTCCTGTTGGGGGTAAGGGATTGGGCAACTCGCTGCTCAGTGCCCCTGTTGTCCACACCTGAAGCATTTGATTGGTGAACCGGCAGGTGGCTTAGGATTCTGCTGCCGCGATGGCTGGGGATTTTCGGGGAGGAGGAAACCTGGCTTGCTCTGGTTTTGGCCTGGCTTCTGGAGGTGGTGGCTTCTTGTAGCGAGCAAGTTCAATATCCAACCTTAGTGCTGCCTAATACCAGTCCTGCCATTGATTGGGGCAGCCCGATAGACAGAAGCCTGGGAAATGTGATCAACTAGCTCCTCTTGAAGTGATGCACCATGGACTGCTCAGGCCACCTTTCGATCTGACCTGCCACCTTGCAAAACTCTCGTACGTATTGCAATGCAGGTCTACCATCTTGCTTTATCTTGTGAATTTGTTTCTCCACTTTGAGGAGTATGGATGGGTCCTCAAACCTCTTTCTTAATCTAAGGAGGAAGAGATGGAGAGCCCCCAGTTCAGGCGCTTGCTCATGGTACAGATTGTTTAGCTTTCCCTTCCAGATTGGCCATGAGCACGTTGACTGTAGCAGCTGGATTTGGATAGAAATTGGCATTGCAATTCATTTGGGAACGTACTTGATTAAGGAAGAAGATTTGCTTCTCAGACTCGTCATCAAAAGTTGCTCTAAGGGGTGGCACCATCATGGGCTGCTGCCCCCCATTGCAGCTGCATTCCCAGCGTTCGTTGGCCTCCCAACAGTGGCTATGGTATCTCCAATTGCTGCAAACACCCCTGCTGTTGTTGCACGTTCAAGGGCTGTTGCCATCCCCACTGCTGCTGCACTGCCAATGGCTGCTGACCTCCTGGCGTCGGCGATGGCTACAGCATCCCCAGTTGCTGCAGGACCCCCAGTGGTTGTTGCACATTCAGGAGCTGTTACCAACCTCACTGCTGCTGCGCTCCCACTGGCTGCTGACCTCCCAGGACTCTCCTTTCTTTCAGGGCTGGAGGTCAATGCTGATGGCTTTGAGGCTGGGGAAACTGCTCGCATTCCATCGGCGGGGCTGAGGCTTCTCTTAGGCAAAGAGTGGTGTCGGCCCCACTGATCATTGTGTTCACTGGCATGTGAAGAGTGACAAAGTTGTTCCCTGCTTCTCACCTCCAGCCCTTCAAATCTCTCCCCCAACTTCTCCACCGATTGGCTATGGACTGCAGACAGGTACTTCAATTCTCCAGAGTCCTCAATGGTCGCCAATCGTTTGTCTTCCCTATGGTCCGGGGAGTGTGTTCCTCGAGAGGCTCCTGCCTGCAAGTTGACTTCGGATACTTTCAAAGAACTTGCCTTTGGCAGGATTGCCTCAAGGTGCTTGGAGTCTCCACTGGGCAGGGTCCACTGTAATGACCAGGTCTTGCGTATTTGGTCTTGGCCCCTGCTTTAAGTCATCAAATGTTTCTTTCTCTGCTGGTGTGCTGGCTTGTACTCCCTCCGCTGAAGCAACAGCCATGGCCAGGGTGCTGGTTACAGGTTCCTCTTCCTTCTCCATGCTGAGATCTTCCCTGAGTCATTGTCAGCTTATCCCCCGACTTAGGGAAGGTGAGTGGAGCTCAGGACCCCAAGGTGGTTAAGGTAGAAAGGTTGGTTTTGGGGTTAATGTCATGGTTCTGATAGATGAAACCATTACAAGAATTTCAAGGCAAAAATTCTTTATTAAAGAACATTTTATTCAGGAAACAAAGTATCGGCACTACATAGTTGAACCCAAAAATTAAATTCCCTTCCCCCAGATACAAAGTAACAAAGTGCAATTCCCACCTCCATTAAGCTGTCATAAATCACATTCTCCAATTAGCCTAAAATGCAGGCTTTCTCCCTAGCTCCTCAGCTCGCCAAAATGTTATCAGCTTGTCCTTGGGTTCCCACAAAGCAGCATTGTTGTTATGGCTAACTGAGCTCATCCCTGAGCTTTCATCCCAACCCCTCCTTCTGCACCTGATTTCTAAATACCAGAAAAAGCATGTTAAAAGCAAAGAGAAAATAGCTGCATTTTTTATCAGTTGTCAGAGTGGGAACATCTAATGTTTACAGCGTTGACAAATACTATATATTCTACATATTTCTACCAACATTCTAAAAGTGAAATGTGTAACCTCCACATATTCCTGAAATACAATTTAGGGTTGTGCAAACCACGTGGAGGGACATTTTAAAAAACTGGGAATGAGCCTCAGAGAGATCACACCAGGCTACCAGAGACTGGGCCACCTTGTCACATTCATAAATCCTCCCTCTGAATGATTTGTATACCCCCACTAATTATAGAAATTTTATCTACAATGGTAAATTAAGATGGAAGCAAGGAGTGATGATAAGATAAGATAACAGCACACACCAAAAAGGAAATTTAGTTGCCCGCTCTCAAAGTGAAACACATACATGACACACACCTAAAACACACTATATACAACATTTGTATAGACCTACACCCCTACATATACATAACAAATAAATATTAAATACTGTCCTTCTTGAATATATAATGGAAGGAGGAAGCTTGAGAGTTCGCAAGTTTAATGCTGTTTGGAATGAAACTATGGCTGAATCTGAATGTTCTGCTGCAGATACCACGAAGCCTCCTCCCAGAAGGTAACAAGGAACACAGGTTGTGAAGAGGCTGTGTGGTGTCCCAGATAATCTCAAGCAGTGCTTCTGTGCTATGTCCTGGATGGGAGGGAGGGAACAGCCAATGATCTTTTCGGCCATTCTCATCACTCTCTGCACTGCCTTCCTATCTGAAGCAGTGATGCTTTCAAACCAGACTTTGATGCTGTATGACAGGATGCTCTTGATCGTCCCCCTGTAGAAAGTGGTCAGGACAGGGGAAGGAAAATGTGCTTTTCTCATGCGATGCAAAAAATGCAGGCGCTGCTTGCCTGCTTTAGCAGTTTCTCACTGTTGAGCGACCAAGCCAGCCTACTCGTTAGCTGCACACCCAGGAATTTGATGCTGGTAACCATCTCCACAGGTGAATCGTTGAAGCACAGAGATGTGTGGCCGTGCCTGCCTTTTCTGAAATCGACAATGATTTCTTTGGTTTTTCTGGTATTTAAAACTAGGCTGTTTTTCTTACACCAGTTCACCAACCCCTCAACCTCCTTGCGGTAAACTTCCACCTTCCTGCGAATTTCACAATATGGTTGGCAAACTTAGCACAACAGTCATGGGCCAACAGGGTGAACAGCAGCGGGCTTAAGTTGCAGCCCTGAGGAGAACCTGTGCTCAAGGAAATGGTATTAGAAGTATTTGTTACAACTTGCACATATTGGGGTCTGTTGGTAAGAAAATCAAGAATCTAGTTGCACAAAGGAGTGTTTAAGCCTAAGAGGTCCAGTTTGTCTATTAGATGCTGGGGAATGATTGTGTTAAACACCGAACTGAAGTCGACAAAATAACAAACATGTGAGCATTTCTTTCCTCTAAGTGCTTCAAACTCAGGTGGGGAACGGAAGAAATAGCATCCTCCATAGAGCGATTCGGTCGGTAGGCAAACTGGAGCGGGTCAAATGCTGGCGGGAGGCTAGATACAATAATATCCTTTATCAGCTTCTCAAAGCATTTCATAATGGTGGATGTCAGTGCAACCGGACAGTAATCATGAGGCCTGTAATTGTGGACTTTTTTTGGCACTGGCAAGATGATGGCCATCTTAAAACACGATGGGACCACTGCTGCTGGAATGAGAGATTGAAAATATTTGTGAGAACACAAGCTAGCTCCTCTGCGCATTCCCTGAGGACACGTCCAGGGATGTTATCTGGGCCTGCTGCTTTCTGAATGTTAATTTTCTGCAGTGTTTTCTGAACAGAGGTGACACCAAAACTTAGCACTTGCTTGTCAGGATAGGGCACAGCTTTCCTAGCAGGAGTACTATTCGATGCCTCAAATCTACTAAAAAATGTATTCAGTTTGTTTAGGAAGTCTGTGTCATCCTTGCATCTCGATGGAGTCACTTTGTAATCTGTGATGGCCTGGATCCCTTGCCTCATTCGCCTGGTGTTTGTTGGGTCCTGAAAAAAGTTCTAAATTTTCTGGCAATGGGCTTGCTTTGCACCTTTTATAACACTTTTCAGATTTGTTCTGGCTGTTCTAAGTGCCAACATGTCACCAGATTTAAAAGCCACAATCTGTGCTTTCAGCATCTTGCGGACCTCATAAGTCAACCAACGGTTTTTCATTCGCCCTCACAACAATGCTTTTCAGGACACAGACATCTTCTATGCACTTTTGGATATATGCAGACACTGTGGTGGCATACTCCTCAACATTTGTAAGTTGGTTGTCAGTAGCTGCTTCCTTAAACATGCTCCAATCTGTGCACTCAAAGTAGTCTTGTAATGCTTCTATAGGTCCCTCTGCCCAGACCCTCACCTGCTTTACTGTAGGTTTCACTCTGACTAATAAAGATTTGTATGCTGGAATAAGCAGCACTGAGAGATGGTCAGAGGAGCCCAGGTGGGGGTGGGGGATAGCTTTGAAAGCCTTCTTGATATTGGAATAAGCAAGATCCCATGTATTGTTCCCTGTGGTTGCAAAGTCCACATATTGATGGAAATGTGGCAGAGTAGCTTTCAAATCCACTTGGTTAAAGTCTCTCACTGCAATAAACGCACCCTCTGGGTGAGTAGTTTGTAAGTCACTGATAGTATGACAGAGAATCTTCAGGGCCTCTTCTCTTTGCATCGGGGATATACACAGCTGTGATAATGATAACAGAATTCTCTAGGCAGATAGAAGGGTCTGCATTTGATGGTCAGAAGCTCTACATCTGGGGAGCACAGACTTGAAACCACCTTGGCATTATTACACCATCTGTCATTTATATAAAAACAGACACTCCCCGGGATTTGCCACTAAGGGCAAAACTCCTGTCCAGCCAAAATGTTGAAAAACTCATCAAGCTAACAGCATTATCTGGGACAGAGGGCTTTAAATAAGTTTCTGTTGTAATAATGACACAGCAATTTCTCACCTCCCGGTTTGTTGTTAAATCCAGCCTCAAGTAATCCATTTTTGGTTCTAAGGAGTGAGCATT